GTTCGACACCAGCTCGTCGGGTCGCCCGACTCCCACTTCAACTCACCTCTTACTTTGCTCGTGAGCCAACCCTCACTGATCGCGCTACCCCAAGCTTCCAACAACTGGTTAAGAGAGCTATCTAATCGCGCAGCTGGAATTTATAACGTGCATGCATGCGCGAAGAACACGGAATTGCAAGGACTTAGAACGGGGATTAGGAGAGGGAGTGTCTGCGCTCTGCATGGCCAGATCGTGGTGTGGGGGACGTAGCCTCTCTCCACGCATCGATCCGAGCATGAAGTCCGCGAAATAGCTAGACACTGCAAAAGGAAAAGCGAGAGCGGAAAAGACGAAGTTCAAGAAGAAAGATACAATTACAATGACGCCCGCCCAAAATTACAGCTACACACACTATTAAGGGTGCCGACTAATCAGAGCTCCGTTGCAGCCGCAAGAAGAAGCGCGCAAGCGCTGCGCGGCAAAAAAAAATCCTAAATTCCTAAATTTCTATCTAATGCAGAAAAAGTAAAAAGCACGAATACCGAAAGGAAAGTCCGAAATTCCGAGAGCCATTGGGGCTCGACAAGATGCAAAAAAAAGATTAAAAAAGAACGAAGCAACAATTCTCGCGCGATCTCAGCGCCCAAATTCCGACAACAGAACAGAAAAGAAGTGAAGTCAACCCTTATTATTCGCGTCCTGTTGGTGCGACACTCAATCGATCATCCCGGGACTTGCCCGGCCCTGAATCCCGCCATCCGAAAAGAAGCGACGAAGAGAAAAGACGAAAAAGCGAAGACACTGATGCAATTCTCCCTCAATCCTGATCTTCCGTAATTGGCCCCTCCTTCCTAGCTTAGGACCCCTCATTGTTATCACGCAGAAAGTCACGCGGAACAAAAATCGGTTCGTCACAAGGCTGTGCCGAGCGCAACACTCCCGGTAGCGCCGCGCCCCTCTTTTCCAGATGTCAGGATGTGGGGGTGTGAGGCCTGAAAGAGCTCGGCAGGGAGTAAAGCAGTGTTGGAAAACTTTGGAAGGGTTTGTTAGGGGTCTCGAGGGTTTTGGAGCATGTGTACTACCTCTGCGGTCTATTCCCATCCTTCTCGAATTAGTGCAAGTGTGCTCATACGGTTTTTCAGCCAAAGCCGGGTAAGGGCTCCGATATCTTAAAAAAAAAATCAAGGTGAGTGGGAGGAGTTGGTGGGATATCATACATCCTACTAGTAAGGGGGCTAGCTGGTAGGATGGGAATAGGGTACAGCAGCAGCGGAGATGGTGGCTCTGCTGCAGTAAGTCTTGCCTGAGTGGGGTACAGGGGATTGATAGGGGGTGTCTGAGTCGTTCTATGAATTGTGCATATATTTTTGTTCTAAAAAAAAAGGTGAGTGGGAGAAGTAGATGGTGGGATATCAAGCGTCCTACTAGTGAGGGGGCTAGCTTGTAGGATGGAAATAGGGTACAGCAGCACGGAGATGGTGACTCTGCTGCAGTAAGTCTTGCCGGAGTGAGGTAAAGAGGATTGATGGGGGGCTTCTGAGTCGTTTTTTGAATTTTGCCTTTTTTTTTTCTTTTTTCTTTTTTTGGAGAAACATAACAATGTCATTCCAATGAGACCACTGGCGCCCGGGAACACACCCCTACATATCAACCTGGTACAGTCCTGCTGAGGCCAATACTCAGCTTAGGCTCCTGGAAACCGGGTCCAGTCTCCCTTCAAGGAATCTCAAAAAATAAAAATTGTAAAGCAATTCTATTAGCAATGTAATATCCTTCCTGCCCTGGAATACGCCGACATGTTTCTAAGATCGAAACACTATTGGCAAAAAAACTACGAGGTATAAACTGCAAAACTAAAAAATGCACAAGGCAATTTGTGAAAATTTTAACAATTTAACCCTAAAATTATTTTCGAAGGCAAACTAATTTCTTAGATACAACTCATTCTAAAATTCAGCCCAGGTGCATACTAAATTTAAAACTATACGTATTAATATTATCTACAGAAAGTGCAAGTCTACAAACTCTCAGACTAGAGGAGCACTCTCAACGACTAAGAGCTAGGGAGAAAAATAAAACATTAGAGTTACCCTCCCGTCCTTTACTTGTCCAAAACACTGTGAAGAGCCTTTGTTGCCTAGACGGGTTTCCCACCACGCACCCAGTGGATACAACTTTAGTTTGCTCTTCACCAGGTCTCTCATATCATCCCAATCCCTGAGTATCACCCTAAATCACTGCAACCATACCCCAACGCTCTGAGGACATCAAGAGTCTGTGAGTGGTCAAGACCTCTGGAAATTACAATGTCAAACACAACTCCCAAGTCCTATCCTCGGCGTTTAAAACGTGAGCGACACTGTCACTCCAAGCGTGGTTATGGATGACAGTTGTCTTACCCTTCACACCCGGGGAACGTTCCCACCGCCACTAGCGAGTCTCCCACTCCCACTGATGGCGCTGCCACCCGTAGGGCTTCGGGGCTTTTTCGACAATCAAACTTTCTAGCAATTACAAACTATCAAACTGGGAACACAGATATAAAACAGAAGCCGTTCGAAATATCTACTATGTAAACTCTAAAGAGACAATCTCAATGACAAAACGCTGGGAAGGACGAATAAGCCTTAGGGTTACCTTCTCATCATCGCTGACCAAAACACTATGAAGAGCCTTAAGTTTGTTGCCTAGACGGGTTTTCCACCACGCACCCAATGGATACAACTCTAGTTTGCTATTCACCGGGTCTCTCATATCTTCCCAACCCCATAAGTTTCACCCGAAAACTATTGCGAACCTTCCCCAGTACTTACGAACATAAAAAAAACTATAAACGAATCTCCATAAGATTTGAAAGTATCAGTTCAACGTGATCTACATACGCAGAACAAATACCAAAGACTTACCGCTTCCCTTTCACAAAAGACCGAGCAGATACTGAGTACATATATTACTAGACCACTCGGGCATCCTACCCGCACTTAGCCAGAAACATGAGGACCATTCATACTTAGGGAATTCCGATGTAACCACCGCCATGGCGCCAATGGAGTCAAGCAACTCCTCGTTAGTCATTTACCTTAAACGATTGGCGTCACATCTGGTTCCGTGCACTAGAGACGATCCCCTGAATCTTTCGTTCCGTTATTCGTCGTACAGTTCAACTTTCTAACCCGCCCAGAGTTTCTCGTTGCACACAATAACCCCTACAATAATCAAATATGGATGTCTTCAGACTGACTAATCGGTCAAAATTACATCGTGATGACTACCTTCCAAATATTATCACACAGATTGTGTAAACAAGGTGATTTCAGGGCACTGTCGCAGTACGAGTCAGACAGATTAGAATAGCGAAAGAGAGAGAAAAGGATAATTCCCCACCATTTGCACATTTAGAGGGCAGAAGACCGTCTGGAGGCACACTGGTCCCCTAGCACTAAGTAAAACAGTCCAGAGGTACGTCGGATCTAAATTGTATCTCCCCTTCTACATGCTTCACTTCCACGCTTCTCCATCTGCTACTCCATATCTCGTGTGGTTTGATAACCATCATATGATGAGGGACGCGACAACAAACGAAACCAAAGGAACGAAAACAAAATAGAACAGAGCAAGAAAGAGGGAAAAACCTCTTTGCATACTGGCTATTCAGCCAAGGTCGCCCACTTCAGAAATGGCAAACGACGGACACAATAAACGAGAACATATACTTCTGGAATGAAGTAGAAGAACAACAGACTGCCTTGCGACAACGAATGGTCAACCGAGACTTGTTGAAGCCCTAAAACATGCCGGAGAGCTGCCACCGCAACCGCACACTCTCCCACTGCGTCCAGATGCGCCCCTCCGACTCCCGTACTTTCCCAGTAATCAGAGCAGTCGGGATGACTTATCATGACAAACAGCGCGCGGCCTTTGGGTGGTGAGAGAGGAGCCCCCCCTTTCCAGCAGAAGGCTTAAGGGGAGGGTGGCTCCTCTGTTATCAAGATCCTGTGAGGTATGCAAGTTGGTATGGAGGTAAGGTACAGAGCTGCCAGGATGCCATGGCATAAGAATGCATAGCACTCCCTACCCACTCAAGGGCTAGGCTACGCCAGGGCACTGTTGCCATAGCTCTCCCACGGCTATGGTGCCTGGCAGAGTAGGCGCCTCGTGGAAGAGATCAGCGTCTACGTGCCCCAGCGTTGCGTCCTACACAGCCGCCGCCGACGACCGGGCACTGCCACCGCTGCTACCACCGCTTCGTTAACGCACATTTCGTGCGGGCCCCCGAGGCCAGGGATTCTGGCTCCGACCGGCCAATTTTGCCTATTTCTGAATTTCGTCGTAGTAATTTTTCTAAGTACTTCAATTTTTTTCTTAGCCAAAGCCCGGTAATGGCCCCGGGGCAAGGTCCCACTTGCACGGATTAAGAGATTCTGCCCGTTGATCTTTGCTCTCTACGGTGGATATCGCTTAATTCGTGTAAGTGGGACCTAGCCCCCGGTATCTCAAACTTTCAATTCTATGTAAATTTGTATATGGGACGCTGGGCCCCGTTCCCAGCACGTGTTGCTTCCCACGAATAGATTGGAGCCTTGTTCCAAAAAAAAAAAGAAAAAAAAAAAGATGGATTTATATTTTCGGAAAACCGTAAAGCTCCGTACAAGCCAAGCTCGTTTACTGTTTTGATTGCTAATTAAGATCCCATCATGAATTTTCTAGAACTGGGGACTGATGTGGCAAGGCCAGCAGCACTGTTTTCTTTCCCTTTTTGTTTTGTGTAAATTGCATTTACCCAGACCCGGTCCCCAAAATGGTTTGTGCCAATTATGCATGCCCAGGGCCGAGGTGGGCCAGGTTTGTTCCACCAAATTGTATCCTCGGCCCTAAGCATAACCATACTTGAGGTGGGCCCTTGTTTTGTGTAAATTGCAGTTGCGGGGTACAGATGCAATTTTCCCTTTTTTTTTTTTGTTTTTTTTTTTACTTTTGTCGTGTTTCGCTTTTCTCGCAGTATTCGCCAATGGCGGCAACGAGGGCATCGCCACACGACTCACCAAATGCACAAAATACAAAAATTATGGCGACATTGTATCCATGATTTAGCGAAGGATTCATTCTCCTTTTCCACATTTGGTGACTGGTGCAGCGAGGCCTCGACTCTGCGGAAGAAAAGGTCCTTTCTCCTTTCTTGCTTCTGCAAACGGTGCTCAATTGATGGCTCGGCAATTTCGGTGTTGCGTGGTAGTCGGGATCTGACAAGGCTGCCACGTGGCGACCTAAAGAAGCTCCGCTCGATTGCCTTGCTTCTGTGCGTCGGCGGATGACGAGCAGGGAGGGAGATAATCGGGTAGTGGCAGGTGCAAACGAGGCGATCTGTGGTGGACGTGATTAGGAGGAGGGAGAGGATTTCTCTTAAACGGGGGGGGGAGGGGAGATCTTCAGAATCCTGCATGCTTATTGTTTGTACGTCCTTAATTCTCCACGACTTCTTTGACACGTGTGGCGAAAGTCGCGCAGGATGACGTTCTTTCATTTTTTCAATTGCGCGGCCTTGACGTTCGCGCCGCATTTCATCTACTACAAGGCGACTCCTTTGTGAGCTCTCTCTCTCTCGCTCGCTCTCTCACTCTCCTGCTCTCTCGCTCTCTCACTCTCCTGCTCTCTCGCTCTCTCTCCTGCTCTCTCGCTCTCTCTCTCGCTTTCTCTGTCCCTTTCTCTCGATATATAGGTCTTTCACTTGTTTGTCTCTCTGTCTCGCTATATCGCACTCTTGTACTGTGTTTGTGTGTCTTTCTGTCTGTGTCTCCCTCGTGTGTGTGTGTGTGTGTGTGTGTGTGTGTGTGTGTGTGTGTGTGTGTGTGTGTTTCGGCACTCTCTCTCATTCTTTTCTGGCTCTTCCCCTCTGCCTCTCTCGTTCCCCCCCCACCTCTCTCTCTCTCTCTCTCTTTTCCCTATTCTCTGTCGTTTTTCTGGAGAAATAGGGTATTAGTTGGCAGATTGCATTTTGTTCAGCAGAATCCAACCCCTCCACAGAGACGTCAGATGTCAGAGAGAGCAAAAAAAAGGGGAGAAAACGAAAAATAAAAGATAATAAAACAAAGATAAAAAAACGGATGAAAACCAACATAATAACGCATTGACTTGATTTAAGAATGGCACCCGGCAGCGATTCTACAGGTCTAGCCAATCTCTGGGATCTAGGAAATCTATCTGGTGTAGCGACTCCCTCTTGGTGCTGTTTTCCTTGCGTATTTTCAAAGTTCCGTGCCTGTTCCCCCTCCTTCTTCCCCCCTCCCCCCCCCCCCTTCTWTCCCCTGGGTGGGCAGGGGAAGATTAGCAAAAGGGGTTAGCAGTAAACACCAGGGGCTAAGTCCCACCTGCGGGGGTTTAGTCGTCCTTTGGAGTAGTTTTTTTTTTCTTTTTTTTCTTTTTTTCTTTTGAGATTTGGAGTAGTTTTCAACTTGGCCACAGTGCGGCCGGTAGATGTTCAGATCCGATGCCTGGAACCGGTGCGTACTCGAAGCCAAGTCTAAACCGGCGCTACCGGTAGTGGGACTTCGCCCCAGGGATTTGTTCTATTCCAGACACCTGCCATTTTTGTCTCCCCCCCCCCCCCCCCCCCCCCCCCCCCCCCCCCCCGCCGCCCCCCCGCGTAAATTACCCCTTTCGAGGGACTCTTTTTTTTTCTCGCTCTGGCGCTCGCTCACTTCAGCAGAGGAGAATAACGTCGGGGTTGAGTGGTGCTGTGAAGGCGTGTCTTGCACGCCCGGTGATCTGCGGCATGGTTTTGATCGTGCGGCTTGCGCGATTGGTTGATTGATTGATTGGTTGATTGATTGGTTGATTGATTGGTTGATTGATTGGTTGACTGATTGCTTGATTGTCTCTTTTTTATTATGCTCGGTACTAGTACGCAAGTCAAATGGTAGCCCATCAAGACGTCCGTTAACGAGGTAGGGGAGGTAGCTACAGGGATGAGGATTTTTTGATACAGAATGTCAGGAATGTAAAGTCATACAAATACAGTATACTAATGCTAAATGAATTAAGCGATGAATCACCACTAGCAATTATGACGAAGTGAAGGACCAGTCAATCTACGAATCAATCAATCAATCAATCAATCAGTCATCTATTAATCATGAATCAATCATTAACCAAGCATATGAATCAATCAATGATATTTGATCAGGGGTTCGACGAATCGAACAAACAAACCGATCGAGCCAGGAGCAGAAATGAAGTAAGCGAACGATCCACCGCTCAATTGATAGAAATTCAATCAGTCGATCTCCGAGTCTCAGGGGTTCAACCAGTAGAGCAAAGCAGTCGATCAAGGAGTGCATCGATCAAGTAATCAATCAAGCCAGGTATACGGCTTACGCTATAAAATAATCAGTCAAGTAAGCAGTCAATTAATCAATCAACTAATCAAGTTAGGTAATCAATCAACTAATCAAGTTAACAAATATAAAACATCGAAAAAGGAATTTTTTGTAGGTGATCAATCAACTAATCAATTTAGGTGATCAATCAATCCAAGGGATATATGGAATCAAAGTAGCAATGAGCTGAGCACTTGGTATGTCAGTCTATCGATCAATCAATCGCTAAACCAACCAATCAATCAATCAATCAATCAATCAATTAATGTATTGAGGGATCAATCAATCGATCGATGAGCCAGTCAATCAATTAATTAATCAATCAGTCAATGTATAACTGAAGTGGGTTACGCATCTCATTAAGCCAAAAATAGTATGTCGGAATTGAGCCCCCCGATTTACTACAGCACCGCTTGATGACCCTGATCGATGTAATCCAGAAATTGAAAGGGAAAAAGAATCCGTGAATTAATGACACAGGGAGGGCGGGCGCAAATGAGGATGATTTTATGTCAGGAAATTTCAGGGTAGATTTGTATTTCTTCTCCTTGCAGTCTCTTGTCAGATAATTTACGTTTTTTTCCAGGAAATTTGTGTGGATTTGTACTTCTTTTCCTTACAGCCTCTCGTCTGATAATACATGTTTTTTTAAGGAAATTTCAGGGTAGATTTGTAATTCTTTTCCTTGCATCCATTCTCTTGTCAGATAATTTATGATTTTTTTTTGTGTTGCAAATTGCTGTTTTTGTTTTTTTAATACTTTGTTGTGGGCTTTGTGGTTAAAAAGTTTAGGAATAAATCGTCCGCTGAAACGTCTAGGAATCGAAAAAAAAAAAGGTTAAAAATTTGCTGTCTGCCATCAGAACGCAGGGGGGAGGGTACTCAAATTTCCATTTCCACTGCATTGTTCATCGCGCAGATCTGAGGATGACACGTGGATGACCTCCATAAAAGCTGCATGTGTGTACATTATAACCTCCCTTGTCAAGGTGAGTGTGTTTTCCCTTCTTAGCCTAAGTAATAAACTCTCTCGCTCGCACTCTCTCTCTCTCTCGTTCCCTGTCTCTCTCCCTCTCTTTTTCCATCTCTCTCCCTCTCTTTTTCCATCTCTCTCTCTCTCCCTCTTTTTCCGTGTCTCTCTCTCTCTCTCTCTTTCCCTGTCTCTCTTCTCATGCCCTCTTCTCCCTTTCTGTTCCTTTGTTCTTCCCTCCGGCCTCCTTGCTTCGCCTCTCTTCTCGACTGTCCTTCTGCTCTTCGCCTTCTTTGATTGTCCTTCGTTCTGCTCTTCCTTATCCTCGATTGTCCTCCTTTTGCTCTTCGCGTTCTCCTCTTTTTTCTCCCCTCTTCTCCCCTTTTCTCCCCACCTCAGCCCTCTTTCCCCACTTCAGCCCTCTTCTCCCCTCTTCTCCCATCTTCTCCGCTTTTTATCTCCTCCCCTCCTCCCCTTTTCTCCCCTCGTCCCCTTTTCTCCCCTCTTCTCCCGTTTTTTTTCCCCTCGTCTCCCCTTTTCTCCTCGCTTCTCTTCTCTCTTCTTGTTCTCTCTTCTTCCATCTTCTCTTGCCTTCACTTCCCTTCTCTCGTCTCTTCCTCTCTTCGCCCCTCTTCTCCCCTCGTGTCGCCTTTTTTCGCCTTGCTTCGATACCTTGTCCTCGGGTCTCTTGTCGTGTTCTTACATCCCCCTCTTCTCCCTTCATCGCTGTTCCCGTTGTACCATACCTCACTTCGTTTTCCTGTCCTTGGTTACTCTGGTCGTCACTCTAACCTTTCGTCTACCTTTCTCTGCTCTTTTGCTTTTCCTTCTTCTCCTCAGTTTCATCTCGCTTTTCTCCCCTTTTCCTTCTTTCCACTTGTCCCTCTCCCCCTTTCTCTTCTCTCCTCTCCCATCTCATCCCCCTCTTCTCTCGCTTTGCCCTTTCTTCCCCCCCGTCCTTCTCTCCTCCTTTTCTTAGATCTCAGCCATTCCCATTCTTCTCCCACTCCCTCTGATCTCTTCTCCTCTCCTCTCTTCTCCTCTCCTCTCCTCTCCTGTCGTCTCCTCTCCTCTTCGTGCGTCACATCCTCCTCTTCTTTCTTCACTTCAGTTGTTCGTTTTCTTCTCCCTTCATTCGCTCGCCTTCTGTTTCCTATCGTCTCTTCCACTCTCCTCTTCTCCACCATTTTGTTGCTTCTCTCTCTCTCTCTCCTGATCTCGTCCTCTTCTTTGCCAGAGCTCTTTCTCCTCTTCCCTCTTCCTCGTCTTCGCTAGCGCGATCTCTCTTCTTCACTCTTCGTCCTCTTCGCTAGCACGATGGTGATTGCCACGTGTCGAGTGCAAAGCAGCGCGCGGGTCATGAAATTCAGCGAACCCCTGGACCGGCCTTCTGTGACGGACACGTGTGGGCGTACTCAGCTGATTGCCACGTGTCGCCAGTCTAGCCTGTGCTCATGTGTCATCCTCAGTTGACACCGAGCCACGTGGCAGCAATCGAACAAATGTGCTGTAATGTCAAATCCAGAACCCTGCGATTTGTTTTCTCTCTCTCTCGATTCATGTGTGTCATCCTTGAAAGCACAGCGGCCATGCTAATCTTCTCGGTATCGTTCCGGAAGGATTGCCCGGGATATTTTTCCCGCCATGTTCTGATTGCCGAGTGTGGCGGTATTTCTGATTGGTGAGTTTGACTATGAAGACGAGACCCTGATTCCCGCCATTTTTTGGCTACGATGATGAGACCTTGATTCCCGCCATTTTTTTACTTCGACGAGGCGACCTTGATTCCCGCCATTTTTTTACACCGATGACGAGACCCTGATTCCCGCCATTTTTTGGCTACGATGATGGGACCTTGATTCCCGCCATTTTTTGACTTCTATGAGGCGACCTTGATTCCCGCCATTTTTTTACACCGATGACGAGACCCTGATTCCCGCCAKTTTTTGGCTACGATGATGAGACCTTGATTCCCGCCATTTTTCGACTTCGATAACGCGACCTTGCTTCCCGCCATTTTCCCCCACCGATGACGAGACCCTGATTCCCGCCATTTTGTTACTACGATGACGATAACTTGATTCCCTCCATTTTTTGATAGCTTTTTTTTGTGTAACGGTGTGCTCGGGGGCAAATAAACGTGACAGCATGGGGAGAAGGTGAAGGGTGGTTGTTAAAGGGGGAGCAGGGAGGGAGGAACGCGTGGCTTCATGCCGTCGTACTTCGATGCAATCTGTGTTCCTTCGAGCGTGTGCCCTTTGCCTTTGAAACACACGATATTTTTTCCCGCCTTTTTTTGTGGAGTGGCACCTCGAAGTTGTCAGCACGCCGTTGAGATCGAATTCCTAACATCAGAGCGCGTCGTATGTTTCTTTTCTCTTCCCTTTTCCTCTGCGTCATGTTTCTTTTCTTTTCCCTTTTCCTTTTCCTTCTCCTTTCCTTTCTCCACGGTTATGGTCATATCCCTATAGCCATTGCTGTGGTCATGGCTACGGCCATGGGTCATAGCCATGACTATAGGGAACATGAACCATATCGCTATAGGCATATGACCATATGAGCCTCTCGGTTATCTGAAGCCATATCATCTCTTCCCTCCTCTTGCTTTGTTCATCCTTCGCACTCAGTCGCTCTTCATTATGGACTCTTATATATATTTTTACTGTCGACACTTCTTGCTTGTTTGTGCATCAACCGCGGTAGTGCTTTCGTGGCTGTATCTGACCGCTGTTACGGGCACAGATTCAGGACTTTACGTGGGGCGTAGATGCCCAAACCAGCCCCCTTCTTCTTCTTTTTTCCCGTAGTCGGTGGTTTCGACCCGCGCTAACTTGCGGTGAAATTATTAAAATATATAGTCATTATTCACCGTCCGTGCTTACGGTATCATCATCGACCTTACGATCTGTGTGCGCGCTCGCGCGCGCGTCTGTATGTGTGTGTGTGTGTGTGTATGTGTGTGTATGTCTGTGTGTGTATGGGGGTGTGTGTATGTGTGTGTATGTGTGTGTGTGTGTGTGTGTGCGTGTGTGTGTGTGTGTGTGTTGCCATGTCCACTATACACAGCTCCACAGAAAAAAAAACATGACTGTGGGCCTCGCTCCACCACTCCGGAAATGTGCAAAATGAAAGAGAGGCGGTTAACGGAGGCCCTAATTTTCAGACAACTTGTGATGCTCTTTATAACAACACCCAACTTGCCACCAAGTCATAGAGTAGAGACCAAATTTGGTACACAACAACCTTGAACCAAAGCAAAAAACAGGCGAGAAAAAGGAGGGGAAAAGAAACATACAATTTGACTCCCAAACCCTAATTTCAGTTTTGGAGCTGTTAGTCAGGAGCTGAAACTGGGGGTCCCCGTTAACCACACGTGTGAAATGAGAATGAATCTTGCGCTAGTTGTTACCTCGTCGTGAATGACATGAAGAAGAGAGAAGTACCCGATCGTCGATGCACTCTCATCATGACTGTATTTGACCGGATTCATAGCTTGTAGGCATTCAGGATGAGAGTGCATTGTCTTAGGGGGAAGAGAGTAGGGCCTCCCTCAATCCTCTTTATTTATTCTGTTTGCAGGAGGAAGCAGTGGCATGCCTTTTCTTTTTTTTCTTTTTCTTGGGCCACGTTATATAATGATATTGATGGATGCTTTACAAAAAACAAAGAAAGAAAAAAGATATTGATGGCTCCTCGTTTCTTTACCTGCTGACTGATCGGTGATTCTGATGGTTGGTGGTTTGTGTTTCTCGTGTTTTTCTTTTCTTGTCGTTTTGTGTCGACTTGGCAGTTGATATGCTTGGCCACATTCTTGCAGGTGTCAGAATCAGATGCGTCAGAACCGTCAGAGGTGAATATGCATCAATATCAAACTTCTAAATATGCTGAGTGGGTTTTTTCAAGCGCAATAAGCTGAGTGGGTTTTTTCAACGTTTTTGGGCTCTCCTTTGGCTTTTTTGCGCTCACCTTTGCCGTTTTGGCCTATTTTGCGCTTTCGAAAAAGGGCCAATCAATTAGGAATTCAATTAGGAAATCAAAATTAGGAATTCCGATAGAATTGGATGGATACGGAGATGATTAGCATGGCTCCTGCAAAAGGATGACATGCGTTAATCGAGAAATGGTCCACCAAAAAAAAAGAAAAAAAAAGAGGGAAGTCATTTAGGAATTCATTCTGATCTGCTGAAGAAAAAGAAGATAGAAGTTCAGAAAAATTCATTTGTTACGCTGATTGTGACTTTGGAAAACAAAAAAGTAAGAAAAAGAAGAAAAAAGAAGAGAGAGAGAGAGAGAGAGAGAGAGAGAGAGAGAGAGAGAGAGAGAGAGAGAGAGAGAGAGGCAAAGAAAAGGGAAGGAGTGTCCCTATTCGCCTATTTTTCATAGACCAAAAGGCACCTTTTCAGAAAACTTGCAGATTTCCCAGGGCTCTTGGGGGTTCAGGCAATGCAGCCGGGTAATCTGTACGCTGAGCCCAGTCACCGACAAAAGAATGAAAGTCAAAAAAATCGATGTATCACACACATTGCACGCTACCCTTCCCCCCCCCCCCTCTTCACCCTGTTCGTACCGGCTTTTTTTTTTGGGGGGGGGGGGGGGGTCTGATCATACGCACACACGTAACTTTGCATGATGATAGATTTAGGTCATGAGTTCAAATCCTGTGAGGGATGATTCATACAATAATGTTGGATTAGCAGCTCGGTGCTCGAACCAACTTTTCCTCTCAGTCTCTCGTAATGCTCAGTTTTTATATCCCCGAAGGAAATCCTGTGAGGGGGGGAGTGGGGTTGAAACATGGAGTTATTTATATCTTACTAATTAGCATTTTCTGTGTTTGTGCCCAATTTTTATACCCGGTATTGTACCTATTTCGACTGTTGGTTTGTTGGGTATTGCGAGCCAAGTGTCGGACACAAGCAGAAAACCAGTAGTGGCTGTCTGGAAATGGCGATGATGGTTCACGACATGGGCAATGAAAGATTTCCTATGTAGTGAGAGAAAAGGACATGAAGAACTGCCAGCTCGTAGATGCAAGCAGAAAAGATGCCTGCCTGAAGCAGCAATTGAGCTCCCATTTGTCCGGATTGCTTGGTCTGGACCAAACATTAGGAGGATCAACGGCCTGGTCCCTGCTCTTGGTGGGACAGGGATCTGAAAATTCCACAAGGCGGGCATGATAGATTCTCTCGCCAGTAGTAGTGGTGACGAGTCCACATCCGGACATTCTCACCAGAAGAGAGAGAGAGAGAGAGAGAGAGAGAGAGAGAGAGAGAGAGAGAGAGAGAGAGAGAGAGAGAGAGAGAGAGAGAGAGAGGTGAAGAGGATTGTTCTACTAAAAAAATGTCTGCCTATGTCGGCAGACGTGTGAGTGTGAAAGGAATGGAGGTACCGTTGCACAGACAAGGTTGACTTCACAGGTATAATGAAGTATGTTATCTCTGAATGAAGTTCTCAGTGGATCCACTACCGGGGATCATCTGGATGTGTACTGAAAATCGCCTGCACTTCTCATTTCTGCATGATGTGGTGGTTCTGTTGTTGTTGTTGTTGTTGTTTGAAATGATGGGATGGATAGGAGCTTCTGAAGGCCTTGATCGGGTTTCTAGACCTTGCTGGAATTTATGTCGCGCTGACACAGCTGACGCATCGAAATATCTCGCACAACAACAAGTTTCAGGCAGTCGGTCTTGGTGAGTGTGAAATCGGCCTTAATTGAACTTGAGTTAATTAATCTTAGTGTTGTGAGGAATGTGTCCTCGTGGGGCCCTAGACAACATGCATGCGTTCTGGACTGTGGCTCCCAGCAAGCCTCGTGCCCGCCCTAAGTGAAGGCGGGTCTGAATACCCACGAGAGGCCCTATTCTCAGCATTTTGCAATGTGGGTATCAGACAGTTGCTGCACGCCAGTTGGTTGAAGTGCAACCTGGGCCTCACCCTGGACTCTTCCAGAAGAAGCAGCTGCGTCAGGCAGTTGAGCCCAGGACGCAGGTGGTTGCGCCTTGGGCACACGCAGTGTGAGACCGACACATCATGAAGTGGCCGCAGGCCAATGAGAAAGCAGCATTGTGGCGGCACACCAACCCAGCGGGCCAATGCAAGCACAGCGTCGGAGCCTGGACGATCCTGGGTGCGCCCAACTGAAAAGGGCCCAGGCCCTCAACCGTAGACATGGGCCTGGGCGCAGACACTGGGGCCCGATCAGAAGCTACTGGAAACTTCCACGGCCAGGCCCAGACAGGCCAGCAGCAGCAGTGACCCCCATACAGGGAAGAGGCCAGCCAGTGTGGGGATGCTGGCCTAGGCAGGCAATGGGGACACGTTGCTGCGAAAACGCGCAAGTGTCTGCATGCGCTAATGCTGGCTGGGGCGCGCGCGGGCGCTGAGAGGTGTGGGTGCTGCAGGGCAGCGGGGTGCCAAGCGGCCATAACTGGGCTGCAGGGGCGCGAGCGGGTGATGGGCAACGGTGGTCTTCAGGAAGGAGGCACAGGTCATGGTGGACAAGGGGTGATGAGGGGAGTCGAGAGTACGCACCTGGCGTATGTGGGAGGTCAGCATTGCTGTTGACGTCATGTGCATTGGTCTTCGATGTCGAAGTGAGCCTGTTGCACAAATGTAGATAGGCTTTGATAGGATGAGTAGAGTAGGCTGGGCGCTGGGCGCCAGACAGTAGGAGCGACATTGAATACTGCGTTGGTATGGCCTGAGGGCTTGGACATTGGCTCACCAGTTCATTGTATTGCTCTTATTTGGATGGAATCTCGGTGCATTTGAGCTCTCTGCTTGTCACGTGACTATCTGGACTTCTGCGTGAATTTGCAACTTGGTCATCGCTGATATTCCGTGCAGTGTGGTTGAATTAGGTGTCGTGAGTTTAAAGCCTATAGCGTTTCTGCTGAGATCTGCAATTGTTGTTGGGGTGTTAAGGCTGTGCTTTTTTTTATTGGATAGCATAATAATAATGGCTAAGTTTCCGCTTTCTGAGAAAGAGAAGGCTGAGGTCGATAAAGCTCTGTCGTATGTGAAATTGTAGAAATCAATCCCGTTTCACCAACTGGCCTCCAACGACCTGTTGAAAACTACAGACCTCAGTTTGAATCCAGATGGAATCAGTTGAGTAAATTAACTCTGATTTTACCCGTAGCCGGTCAGTTTGAACGCCCTTCAAAAAAAAAAAGTCAATCCCATTGTCGATGGGAGAAGGAAGTGGTTGCCCACTTTCACATCACGGACAAGCCCCGATCCATGATCACCATTGATCGGAACTTGATTCCATAATTCCCACTGCCAGAGTGCACCTTGGTGCCTGCATCTTCGGTACACAGACCATCCGATTTGACGACTCTCTATAGTGAAATGAGGTTCATAAACAAGGATAAATAAATTAGTAAAATGAAGATATATACTCCTGATAACTTGGTGAAACTTCGACAAAACAGTCTGTCACAGCCCCCCATTTCTTGTCCGTCAAACTTCCCATGCTGCCTACGCCGCATGGGGGGCCAAACAGTCTTTCACAGCGCCCCGTTTCGTGTCCTTTTCTTCCTTTCTGCCTACGGTTCACGGGGCATTTCTCTATGACTAAGGACTGGTGAGTGTAATTGCCTGGTGAGTGCCTTCCTCGGCCTCATGTCTCTGCCTGCATTGTGCATGAACCTGGTCACTGCATGGCCGTTGTGCATGCCACTGACACTGGGAACTGTGGGGCAATGACACCATGATCCATGCCTCGATTGACATTGGTGATTTCCTGTGGAAAAGCGATGTTTTCTGGACTTAGCAAACCGCCCGCTCACTTTACGTTGAAGATCATCCGTCTGCCCCTGTGCACGAGCGGTAGGTATGATGTCGGTTTCGCAGCCCGGAATGTTATTATTAATTACGCTGGGCCGTCACCCTGCCAGGCATGCCTGGGCCAGCTGGGCAGGGAGGGGGTCGCCCGGCAAAACCAGGCAGGTTGGAAAAGAGGCAAGGATCCCAAGGGGATAAAAAACTGACGTCAGGACAGGACTGTGCTTGGCCTGAGCAGTCAGAATCTGGCCTTACCTTCCGTTTTGGTGATGGGGGATCTGGGGGGTATAAACAGTGACTAGAGGGGGTTAAAAGGGTATGCCCTACCTTATGGCAGCATAGACTATTTAGTATTAACTAATACTTATTACGAATGGGTGCTTGTCTGTGATTCCTGTTGTTCTTTCGTCCTGACCAGCAACCAGCACACTGTTTGTTGGGAGTGTTTTGTGATGGTGGTTAATGCTAGCCATCATCACAACTGGCAGAGATTTCCTTGTTCTGTGTGACATTGCTGTGTGCTTGTATGCGTGTGCACCTGCTGGAAATCGGGTCCAGCGTCCCTGTACAATGATGTGAATGTATCTGCTGGGAATCGGGTCCAGCGTCCCTATGCAAAGATTTGTTGATATCTCCAACTAAGGCTCCATCTATTGGTGGGGAGCTGCACCTGCTGGAAATCGGGTCCAGCATCCCTGTACAATGATGTGAATGTATCTGCTGGAAATCGGGTCCAGCGTCCCTATGCAAAGATTTGTTGATATCTCCAACTACCTATGTATGGTGTAGGTGAATGTATCTGCTGGAAATCGGGTCCAGCGTCCCTATGCAAAGATATGTTGACATCTCCAACTACCTATGTATGCACATTTAAGCAGTATGTTGCAGTATGTTTCAGATGATGGGGGAACCCTATCCATGTGATCTATAGAATCTACAAAACAAATTGAGGCATCGAGCCCATTCTTATCTATCAGACGAAACCCTAACCTTGATGTGATGTGTATAACGTGTTTGAGCTGGAAGTCAACCAGCTTCCCTATACAATGATATGTTGAGGTGTCATAGAAAAACCTATCTATCAGACCAGGAGACGAATCCCTGACATTGATGCAATGTGTGTGCGCTGGAAATCATACCCAGCTTCCTATATGTTCATCAATCCCTATATGACATCAAGCCTAATCCTAGCAATCAGACCACTGTATGACCTTGAGCCTAATCCTAGCATTCAGGCCAAGCACCAAACCCTACCCCTGATGGGGTCTGTGTGCATGATGAGTGCCAGATGTGTGCATGATGTGCGTAATATGTTAGGAGTCGAGTCAGCTTCCCTGTACAATGATGTGGTGTGTGTCAGCTGGAATTCAGGTCCAGCGTCCCTATATGGTGTCCATGTCACGGGAGGGGACATCCTTATTCAGCTAATCAATCGTATCTCCACAGCAAACCGCAGCAGATGTCATCCCATCGATCAAACGAGACACTGAACCCAACCCCTGATGTGGTCTATGTTCATTGCATAGTGCAATGTATAGTCGTGCTTCACCTACGATCCAATCTGCACGAAATCGCGGCCCAGCCTATATCTCCGCGAAGGGCAGAGGCATTGATTACTTCTCTACACGAGAGAAGGATTGACCTACTGCCCTTGAGGCATCATCCAACCGAAGGAGTATCAAGATGCGCCGAAACAAGGAATCTACCAACATAGAACCCCTAAGCACCCGAACTCCACATGGGGCCACATCCCTTCATGCTAAAGAGTTGATCAACCCCGATTTTCGCGAGGAGGATCACCTATCCCACTCCAGCCCGGTCAAAAGGAGACAAATCATGCAAAAAAAACGGGT